AACACACAACCCTCATACACCCCCTCACCCCCCCGCCCCCCCCCCCCCCCCCCCCCCCCCCCCCCCCCCCCCCCCCCCCCCTGGTAAGATGCGAGTGAGTCACTCTATAAGATTTCGAAGTAGAATCCTAGAATCCTTGCAATAAAAAAAGTGTAATTTGAATCCTGAAATCCTTGCACCATAGAATTCAAGAATTTTTATATCCTGCTCTTTTTTTCATTAGTGAAAATTGATCTCTAATCTAACCATCGATATGTTTCTTGGACAAATAAGATTTCATTTACAAAAACGTTTAGAACGTTTGACAGAGCAAACTCTTAGCCCGATAATGGAAAAGAAATTTTTTGAATGACTAAATAGTTTAAAGTCTCCACATTCCTCTCTGTGTCGGCCGTCTAGTGCCACGACGTCGAACTAAGCCATTTGCTATCATCATCATTGTTTTCTTCTGCAATTTGAAACTTTTGTTCCAGTAACTCGATGTAATAATTTTTAATATGATTAAATGCACATGAATCACCATCGCACACTAGCCTCCTGTACCTCAGCCTATGGTCATACGATCTTGAATATAATCTTTTTGCACCTTCCATTTCCATTTCTAAAATAATATAAAAATCAAAATGATAATGCATGAAATTCACTGCATTGTAGAGAGAAGATGTCATACGTACCTTTGAATTTATTATGATAATTTTTTGAACATGACGATTCATGATGTCGAAACCATTTACGAAATTTCGATGAGGATAAACGTTCTTTTTGTAAATGACATGATTCACAGTTCAAACTTAAAACTTCATAGTCAATACATTTTCCAGAATCAACGTGAATCAGAAATATAATACCATACTTGGACGTAAATCCACGTTTTTTCCATGTACCATCTGCTGGCAAAACAAAGAAATGCAGGCTATTGAGACCTTCTGCTACTCTGACGGGTCAAAAAGGTCCGGTTCCGGAATTTTTAGGAAGAGCATATAACTTCCAAAAATCAGAGAAAACTGGCTTGAGTAATAGTTACTCAAGTAAGTTTTTAAGAACTCCTTTATTTACCTAAAGAAACGGCTACATTCAATATTGTTTGATCGTCATCATTGATTAATCCCTCACCATGGCGTATTCTTTGAATTGTTGATTTAAAATGTTTTTGAGCAAATATGTGTAATAAATCATAAATTTTATGAACTTATGGAAGAAATTTTTGTTTGGATGTAATTGATAATGATAATGATGACATAATTAAACTTAATGAATCATATCCAATACCAGTCACAGCAGACGCCAAATACAATTGTTGATTTGGTACTTGTATACTGTTTTCAATGAGACCGTTTGGTGGAAAATTTGTAATAATTGTTTGCTTTTTACATTTAGAACAACGAACAGCATTCGGATGAAATAAACGAAATGATGTCTGTGTATTAGCTAAAAATGCTAATCTTCCATTGGGACATAAATGGACGTCACGTAACTGTTTTGTTAGGTACCTGATATCAAATAATTGTGTTTGATTTTCTTCAGTTTGTAATGTTTGTGCACTGGATATTAGCAGAAAGGACTTTAATTACCTTTCACATCCTAAAACAAAAACTTATGATGTGCTTACTTTTGAAAAGTTGGACTAATTTTTAATAATGAGCGAGATGATTGGGGCGTTGGATCAGGTAATGAAGTTCTTTGGCGACATGTAAATGATGATACTGAACAATACAATCTCCTTTGAAAACAACGTTTACGTTTTCGACCATGTAGTTTTCTCGCGTGATCTTTTCTTTTGCTTTTTGATATGCTATTGCTGTCCCCGACTACAGAAGGCAGTGCATACGAGATCAATACATCACTCTCTGAACAAGAGGTCGCATAGCCAGGACAATAGTTTTCATCATTAGACGACATTCCTCGATACAACCTTTTATAATTAATAATCTAAAAAATGACTGACGACGAGTCTTCTAATTTTCACGAACAAATCGTATAAAACTCAGCAAAATAAAAACAGAAAACGCTAGCTAAGCAATAAAACATTATCTCACACATGGAGAAAAAAATGCAGCAAAAAATAATATGCTATTGGTCAACAGAATCCGTTGAGGTTTTAGTACTTCCCTCACCAAAACACAACATAAAGTGCACAATCCACTTAATGCCAAAGAGTGGCATCTAATACAAATAGACTGTTTCATGTATACATACTTTTTTTTTTGATTTTAAATGTCTGTTAACTTTGACAATACATGTATTGTCAAAGTTAACAGACATTTAAAATCAGAAAAAGTCGCTCTTGCATGGAAATTCGACTTTCTCATTACCTGATACACGAACTTATGCACGCATTTCAAAAACAATGAAACATTTTGAAGAAAACTTTTCGCTGGCAAAGTTGTTCAGGATAATGCTCTTCATACCCTAAGCGGAGCATTTTTTTCATTTTAGTGGGAAAATTTTGAAACAAATGCAATTTACATAAATTTTAAGTAAATTTAAACCTAAAAATTTTCTATTTGTAATGTATTTCAAAATTTTTCCACTAAAATGAAAAATGTACTCCGCTTAGGGTATGAAGAGGACTACCCTGAACAACTTTGACAGCGAAAATTTTTCTTCAAATGCTTTGTTGTTTTTGAAAGTTGTTTGCATAAGTTTCAAAAAATTACTTTAAGGACTCAAACTGCACTATAATTAAAAATGTTAATTTTTTCAGACACCGTTGGTTCAATTTTCATTATAACTTGTGGATATATGTGACTTAACGTGCGCTGTTGAACTGCGTGACAATAAGAGTTCCAGCTTCAATTTTGAATTTTTTATAAATTTTTTTAATAGAGGGTCAAAATCGTATGAAATTCGTAAAAATTTCTTTTCTTAGCGATTACAAGTCTGTTCATCGAAAGCACTTCAGGGTATATACAGCTTGATGTGCTCTACAAAGTTATGAAAAAAAACGGGGATGGTTACCCCCCTTAAGTTATTTAGAAAATGGGCAAGTGCACTGTTTTTTTACGGATAGCATAACTGTTCCACTAGTTTCAATATATAGAAACGAGTTTTTCCAATATGGTTTCGGCATTGCTTATCGTGTTCCTACTGTAGACTAACTTCATGCAATGCGCACTTTACATCGTATTGATTTCAATCTAATAAAGCAAAATTACTGCTAAGTAACATAGGACTTATTGGCGAAATTGTTAGCGATATGCTGTATAGAAATATAAAACTCGGCGTTCTCTTTATAACTTTCTTCAAGAAAAATAACACTTTGATGTGTTTCTGATTCTTAAATTTGATTTAAAAAACCAGTGCACTTCAACAATGGTCAGTTTGAAACGGTAGAATTCTGCAAACATTTCCAAGATGGCGTGCCCTGTACCATTTGCCGAAACATCACTTGAAACATTTTTCCAAATTTATTCTTTCTTATAAGCCGATATTACAAAAGACCGTTTAGGATTACTCACACAGTTTAATGACAAGAAATCAAAAATTATTTTGCAGTTCTGAGAACGACTACGTTGGCAGACGTTGCTGTTGCTACTACGAAAAAACTATCGAATTCTCTTAAGGTTCTTACTACCAGATTACACGTTTAGGGTCACTGCCGTGTTTAAGACTGAATTTCTCGAATCTCTTTTTAATCTTCAGTTTGAACTTCATAACAGTTATAAACTATTCTTTCCATTGACTTCAGTCCATATCACACTATTCAATACGATCCACATTCCGAAAAGGGATAAAGACAGAGTATCATGCTATCCTAACATCACAGCAATCGGACCTACAGCAAATGACTATCAGAGCGCTTCCTAATCAAAAAAACTAACCTAAATCAACCTTATGCGCTAATTCGAAATCACCCCAGAGATGCTAACTAGAAAAACTGAGGAAAACATCCTCCGAAGGACGCTACTAAAACCTTAATGTAGGAGCACATCATAATTATTTAAATGTGAGAACCATCGATGTATCTCATCCGTGTTTACACAACCACATCTTACACAATGAACACTGACAATGTCCGCTTTGAATTCCAAACTTACCTGATGATGACTGTGTGAGCAACAGTCGAAACGATCGTCGTGAGATGCTTGGAAATGTCTTAAAAACTCACTCTCACCCTCACCCTCAAGAGAAACGGCAGCCGTAGGGAGAGAGAGAGAAGAACACTTTAAGTACCACAGTCGTTCTATACACTCTGCACAAATTTCGTTCTGTCACTTCTAATTCCATTTTTGTTGTTTTTGAAAAAAAAATAACTTATCTAACTTACTAATAACTGTTATTAATAATTTATTTACGCTCATTACCGCTATCCGAAAAAAAAGAATGAAAAAATTGTGATTCTCTCCGTAAGAACCGTTATTCGAATTTACGCTAGAGCAGACGCTTATTTTTTCTTCTTCTTCTCTTGCAGTGTATAATGAAACGAAGAGAAGAAAACATTTACACAGGAAAAAATGGGCCTTTGAAAAAACTTCGTGTTGCTAAACCTTTTTAAAGAATTTGATGATTAAAATTTCACGGATTTTTGGAACTAGCTAAATTTTTAAAAATAATTTTTTCAGAGTTCAAGTGTGTCTAAAAAATTTGGAAAAAAAAGCATTTTTTTGCACTTCAGCCACAAAAAATTCTACTTACCCAGTTCCGTTACTCCCAAAAATTCGTAAAAATTAGGGTTGCAATTTTTCTAAAAATTAATCGGTACTCACAAATTACTTTGAAAGGCCCATTTTGCTTGGGTAAATTGCTTTTTCTTGTCTACGGCTATGACTCTATATTTAATTTATAAAATTATTCTAAATAAAACATTTATGTTTATATTTTTTCAGCTTGTATAAGTAAAAATGAAATACAACATCGCAGCCTCAATTATATGTCAATATTCCTTTTTATTGAAAAAAAGATGAACAAATAAAGAGATGAAATAAAATCAAAAAATAATAATTTGAAAACTGACAAGCGATATGAGCTGACGATGGAACTGCTAATCGCCCTAATATGGATTAATTGCTCTTCTTCCTCAACTTTCCCTTGGAGCTTAGAAAGAGCTTTGTGGCGCTCATTATAACTTAGGTTCAGTCACATAGGAGGAATATTCTTCTACACGAGAGTATTTTGTCGATGCTCTGCAGTTCTCATATGCAAAAAAGCAAAGCACTGTCTAAGAAGCAAGCTTCGAACACACTTTACTACAGCTCAGTGAATTGCCGTAAAGCGGCCCTACCTCTTCTAATTTTTGTTTCTCGGAAGTTTACAAAGTTTGGCGAAATTTATTGAAAAGAATTTAGCGTAGCAAAAGTAAAACGGAGTGCCTTTTCATATTAAAAGAGACTCTCTCTTTGTCGCTCTCTCTCTCTCCCTACGGCTGCCGTTTCTCTGGTGAAAACGTTGCTAAACAGCAGTCAGAAAGGGAGAGAGAGAAACTGAAAAGAAGTCAAATGTTGTTGTTGCAGTTCCATTAACCCAATGTAAACTGTCGAGGGGGGACAAGCTTTGGACAGATTTAAAGTTTTTGTCTAATGTTTACGTATGTCCATCTCATTTCTTTTGCAATATGCATGTATGGTCTGTCATGCAAAATCCTGAAGGAGAACAGCCCAGGATTTATTCTGTAGCCTTTGCTAAAAGGGAAAATAAATCTCTTTGAGGCACAGGCGGCGGAACGTTCTCACTTTTGGGGTGCCTCAGTTTTTTCTTAAACGGTCAGATGAGAGAAAAGACGAAAATGGCATCAGTTTGCTTTTTAAGCTAGAGCAAGGTCACAAAAAAAACCTTTGTCGTTTTGTGCAAGAATCTTTAAAAGCTAAATTCTTTAGTGTCTATTAACAGTAACAGAAAAGAAGTCCAAAAAGTTATCCTAATATCCTGTCTTCTTTGACGTACATTCCCATTCAGCAGTACCTCCATCATCGAATCTTTTCGTTTCACGTGTAACCCGATATTCTTCCATTTGGTAACCTTTATCATTCGGTCGGCCTGCTGTTACTTTTGAAAGATCTACATGTATAGCCGGAGCCTTTATATTACTTCCATTGACATCTTTCCCTTCTATTTCACCACCGTAGTGATGTGGATGACCATGTTTATCATTTGGTAAATCAGCGTTAACTGAATATTGAACATTCCACTTTTTTCCACTGGCAGTTGTCCCTGAGAAATTGTAATCAACTTGAACCACCCTACTAAGTGAGGCATTACTCAAATGAAACTCATTCATGGGACCATCTTTTTTCTTCAAAATTGCATGAATCCAATCTGTAGCATTGCTGGGAATTTTATCACTTGAAATTTCGTATTTTAACATTTGTTTTATCACGTCTTCATTTGCTTTGCGGTACTCTGCCATTCCGTTTCTGTCAATTAAAAAAATAAATATAAGATACATTTACATTGTTCTTGAAAAAAAACTAAAATTTTCTTCAGAAACGTTCATAAAGAAAATCCGTTAAAAATCGACGTTTTTTTTTTGTTCACTGACGTCCCTGCAATCAAATATTCTTGTATCGGTCCGCATCGATTTCGTCCGGTTTGTGTGGGTCCGCAGCGGATCTTATATAAGAAGTGGGTCTTATATAAGATTATTTAATAAACAATCTTATATAAGAAACTGATAAGAATCCTATCAGTTTTAGCAAAAAGTTTTTGTCTAGGGCTGTACGTATCAAGAAATTGGCCTTGGGCTACTGTTCCACAGCAGTAAACCATAGAACTCCTGATTGGTTAAGTGTTCTCTTTAACATACAAATGCATTGTTTTTCCATTAATTTTTTTCCAGAGGAAATCAATAGTATGAATAGCTGTAATAAATAGTATTTATTTGCAACAGATCTCATTGAATAAAATTTTGCCACAGAAAAGATACCTTCTGACGACTAAAACCTATGACGTCATCAACCATGGCGGTAGGTTCAGTGTGTTATTCATGATGACTGTTTGGCCACGTTCGCACTATAAATTTTTCAGAGTTAACTCGCAGTTAACTTCGAGAGCGTTCACACCTAAATCTTTAACACACCAAAAAGATTTTGACATTTCCCCTAAAATTGTGCTGCTTAGGTTGCGGCTGGCTAACAGCCGGCCAGTTTGAATTTATGTTCTACATTTGACTTTCTAAGCTCAAACAGAAAAATTGAGTAGAAAATCAGATGTTTGTTTGCTCATAGGACCGGCGCTAACTTCCATGTCTAATGGATCCATATTATTGGTTACTGAGCTCAGTTTATGGTTGGAGAGTTAACTTTCCGACCAATCAGCTTTGTTTTTGCTCATTTAACTTTTGTAGTGCACTGTAAATTCATGCGTCAGATAAGTGGATGATTCTCATCCACTTAAATAGCGGAATCATCCATATAAGTAGATGGCGTGTTGATGCCATCCACTTTAGTAGTGAAGATGATGAACTAAAGTGGA